ACGGGGTCATTAAAATAAAGACAAGGCTAGGATCAATTGACAGTCGATTGGTTTTAGTCCATCAAAGAACACACTTTGTCAGCTAATTCTATCTTCGCTGTTAATCTGGAAGGTTTTGGTGACTCTACTGATACAAGGGGTGTCAATGCTTCAGTTTCACACATGCGGCTGATTAGAAAAGTCTAGACCTAGCCTGAACATGAGCCTAGGCCGTGATGCAGGCTCCCTGGTTAGGCTAATCTGAGCACGACTTCACGAAATAAACACTCCATTGCTTGTCGTAAGCGACGTTTAATTTGATCAGAAGGTCAATCTCGGAGATTTGGTTACATGTCATCGTACCCCGACGGCGTTGGAGTCATAACGTCAACTACTCGTTGGTCTGGGTAAGACTAGGTTATTTTCAGGTTACCAAAATTTGTCTGGAAAGTTGATGACTGAGGCGTAAACACAACAAATAAAAAGAAACAAACAATAAGTAATAATATATATACCAACTTCATATTTTCTGTCACTTAGGTCAAGAATACTGGATTGGTGTGACCAATCTTTTTGACCGGTTCCAGTGGCGATATCTCTTTGGTGACGTTGTTCCCCTGAATGGCTTCACCTCTCCCCTCGTGAATGGCACGGGCACCTGCAGCAGCTCTACCCCAACGTTGTATCCAGAAAACTGCGCCGTCCTGGGGAAGAACGACGCCGGCCAATGGGAGTGGGATGACGAAGAGTGTAATAGGGAGGAGTATTTCCTCTGTCTGGCAACCCTGTCCATACCTACATCCTAGATTCTTAAGAGACCAATGTATTAGTGAATTTAGTTTGCAGCGATGTACTTGTAAATAAAGAATTATTATTATTATTGTGTTGTGTTATTTGCGTAAAACAATATATGTATTATGATATATGCTTGGGTTTTCTTCAACATATTTTGCTGTATATAATAACAATGCAACACACGTAAGCTGCGTTTTTGGGAGTTGTGGGCGTGTGACAAAACTCTCCACAAAACTGTAGGATAAGAAAGATGACTTCATCTTTCTAACAGTCAACTTTCCCTTTATGTCGAACAATATTCCATCAGCTTCATGCTTTGGTGTTTAATTATCACAACTTTAAGGGTAAAATCGAGCTTGCTCTTTCTACAAAGAGCGTCACAAGCCATTTGCTCTTTTAGTTCTTTAATCAGGGTTCCATCATTCAAGGCCTCAGCAACACTTTCAATATGTTTTTTTCAATTAACAAATGTATTACAAAATTCACTAAGTGTACAAATCAATAGTACACATTAGAGTTGTTTGTTATTTAACGCCGCACTCAGGAATATTCCAGCTATATGATAGCGGTCTGTATATAATGGAGTCTGGACCAGAAAGTCTAGTGATTGACATCATGAGCATCGATCTATGGAATTGGGATACGATGACATGCATCAACCAAGTTAGCGAGCCTGACCACCCGATCCCGTTAGTCGCCTCATGCAACACAATATTGAATGACAGTGGTAGTACAATATTCAATGACAGTATACATGTATACTACGATGACAGTGGTCAGTATCAAACAAAAATACAGTGATAACAGCAAAAGTCAGTGATAATAGTATATTCATGAAGTGGCGATGATGGTCAAGCTTACGAGATTGGCTTGTTCATGGAATCAGGGGTGATGAGTGATCCTCAAACGAAAGCTGGTCTTAATGTGATGAAATACGTGAAATACATTAAATAGTACTACTATCCTGACACCCAATCATCGTCCAAACACAATGCAATGAGCGTCAACCAAATGTCAACAGAAACAAAGTAACACAGTTACAATTATTGTTCAACAATAAAAATCACTGACATGTAACAATTGCATAAAGCGTCGTCAAATCGTTGATATATCTCCCCACGTCACCTGACAACCCACATCTTCACAAGTCAACTCACCACTTAAGTATTATGCTCGACAGGATAGGTTTTTATATGCATCAGATAGTTGAGGTGTTTTCACCAGTAGTTCTCTGTACCTTACAGGTAAAGAACAGTAAGGAACAGCTGTTTTTGTAAGACTGACGTGTCTCACTTTGCTGTTTTCTCATTTTGTTGAATAGCAATGGAGTTGAACTGAGATGCTATTCTTGGTTACCCTGTTGAGTTGTTTAGAGATATTACAATTCGCGTCATATTTTCGCTTCACTTCTGCAAGTCTTTAAAGAATTCATTAAGGAATTGAAAATTAGAAAACAGTGATCCGAGTTTTATGAAGATATGTCTAACAATTGTTCATTTTGACTTGTTAAGTTGAGACGAAATATAACACAGATACAATATTATTTTCTCAAATCTGAAAAACTCTGAAATGTTTGTACATAATGCATGAAGCTGTTCATTAGTACTGAATATTAGCACACAATCCTTGACTGTCAACTGACTAGGAATCCATTTGAGAAAGATAACTATTGAATGTTTGATGTTTCTTCCTCTCAACACTAATGACTATTTGAACAAGAAAATTTCAATGGAGACGTTCAAACTGTGTCTACCATGTGAATGTCATTCAAAACTTGAAATTTAATGGCATGAAGCTATGAATTTCAGTTCAAGATACAGTTTTAATTGCCTCAACAACATGTTCCTCTGAGGTCCAACTGAGAAATTATCAATTTGCTTTATGTAAATGTTCTATTCTTCAACATGATCAACATATGCACTTAAAAGGCATGAATATGGTGGTGACAAACATTACTATTATTGTAATTGAATATTGACAGCTTCATTAAATATTACTACCTCTCCACTGCTAGAACGAATATTTAAGTTTCGATACTTTTTTTGGCCACAAAAATGCCCGTTTTGTTTGTAATGTTTATTCAAAGTCTGTTTTGTACATGGTGTAAATAAAAGTTTTGATACAGCTTTACTAGAGGTTTGAACTGTACATCATTTCAACAGTTTCGAAGCTGCCACAGAATGACAGTAGTTGGGAAATTAGTCTAATATTTTCACCTGCCTTAGGAAGCCTTCCTCATCCATTTATTTATGCATTGAATACAATATAATAAAATATGTACAAAGAATTGATTCGTTTGTTGTCACTGAACCCTACGCATACCTTCATTAAGATATAAAACTTCAAGGCCAGAGAATAAGTATCCAAATGAAACAGATTCCATGGGGTGTGAAAGGCAAAGTCGTGTTGGAAATTATATGACTGATCACTGAAAATCAGGCATTCGCTAAATGGGGGAGCAGGTCCCGCCCAAGACTTGTTAAGATGTGGGTCTAAGCCTCTCTTGACTACTGAAGTAAAGGACATTCTGAAACATCCTCAGTAATATCAACCTATCCTAATCATTGACTGATTCGGGCTTTAGGGCTGCTTTTTGTATAAGAAAATCTCACACATGCAGTAGCCTGACAGTGGGCTGTTTGAAAACAGCAGGAAAGCTGCAGTAGCACACCAATAATGAACTGAGGACCCTCCAAACCACAAGTCGATCAGGGTTGCTTGGTCGTTTGTTGTTCAACACACCACTCAACAATATGCCAACTATTCATGGTTGTCTGCAAAATGATTGAGTTCGGACCAGACAATCCAGTGATTAACATCCACACATTAATATTTGCCACATGTAATCCACCAAGTCCCCGATCTTGTCCATACATATTATAAATACTACTCAAAAGAAGTTATAGAACACAATGTTTTCATTTAATGTCATGGCCATGACATGTTAACTATTGGCATATAACAAAATTGAGTGTTTATGGTTTACCCATCGAGGGGAAAAAGTTTCGCAAGAAGAAACAAAATGTATAATTTAAACTGATAATTAGTTACATGCAAATGTAACTAGCCAATTGAAACTTATATAAAAAACATGATCTGCCAAATGCATCGAATATAGCCTCTGACCACTTACAAAGACTTCTTTACGAGAAAGTAGCCTTCTCTTATAGATGTAAACATATGAACACGTTACTGTTTAAATATCCGTAGGAGTTCCGGATTGAATGTGTCGCTAGATTCAGAGTGCAGTGGTTTATCATTCCCACTGAACCCACCGGCTCAAATTACATTGTGTGTACAAGATATAATAAATACTGACCGACAAGGATTTACCCAAGCTAAATGGCCAGCACAAATTCGTGAACCGCTTAACATAGCAAGAAAATGTATAATCTTATGATAATAACATTTCTGTCTCGATTTAGCAATTTCACTGCTTGCGTAAAACAGCGTGGTGCAAGAGTCATTGGATCGATTAAAAGGACAAAGGATATTTGAATAATACTGCCAAATAACATGTTGATCTCGTCGGCACCATAGCGGACGAGGTAATGTCATCAGACGTCTAAATGTCCTGGTCAGAAGGGATCAGGCGGTGTCATAACGGACCACAAGACTTTTTTTAAAAAAGAAGAAGAAGAGTGTTTTACACTCGTGTTGAAGTACACGATGATAGAAAGTACAGTGCCAGAAAAATATGATATAAATTTTATAACATCCCTCTTTGATGAATTTGCAGGGTTTTAGATCGGTTGATGGTTTTAGACATTGACAGTTATCCAAAATGTTCTGAAGATATTTCTTTGAAAATTGGAAATGACATGGATAATAAATGACACTTAACATAACCCTGAGACATATCCGTGGTATGATGTCGACTATCGATAACGATAACGCCACACTCAGCCCTGCTCCATCTATAATCGAGTACGGATATACAAGCATTCACTACTCTGAATCTGAAGTCCGTTCAGCATCCCTAGAGCAATGTGGAGTATATTATCACAGGGTATCACATATGTTATGTGACCAAGACTAATTAGTCACTCTCTAGACCAATGTGGACAATGTTTTTATCAAAGGGCATCACACGTGTTATGCAACCGAGACTAATCAGAATGAACATCTGTTTTATTAACCTATATTAAACGTAGTTTCCACCTGGTCCAGATTACAATATTTGGTATAAATATAGAGACAACAACCCTATCTGACAAATCATCCCGATTGTCTACAATGCTGCTCATCTCTCTGTTCGTGGTTGTGTTGGGGGTTGCTGAGATACATGGTAAGTATTTCAACTGAATTTTCAACAGTTATTTTCCAAATCTCATTTGGAAGTTTTCGGTGTCGACGTCATACTGCAAGTCTTATTTGTGTATCCCAGTTATACACATATCATATACTAGTAGAGACGGATGATGCTAAAATTTGCTTTGTTCTGACATACTACACGATGTTTATATACAATGCCGATGTTTAGGTATGATAGGTGTCTTCAGTCATAGATGTTATAGAAGTATATTGTCGCCGACAAGCATCGAGACACACATATACATAAGTACTTTTCAATTTTTCTGTGTAGCTTCAACGTGGGCAAACAGCCGGGCCAAAATAAGTATACAACCATGATGGCTAAAAACGAAACGGGCACGAAATGGTTTAGTCAATGTTGATGTATTTGTTATGGGTATCATAGCTGTGTTTTGGATCTCAAGTTTGCAGTCTTTTGACCACTGTTTTTTTAAGCCTAGTAATATTTGAATGTTTCAAGTGCATAATATCTTTTGCCCGCCATGAAAATGAAAAAATATTTGAACCCTTATGTGTTTCAAATATCCAGAAATTCCATGTATTATTTGGAATTATTTACATATGGCATGTTCATTTATGACTAAATTACCACTAATACCTGCTGCAAAGTAGCTATAAGAACACTGTGTTCGTTACCACAGAAACGAGGGTCGCAGGTACCTCAGCGGAAAACATCTTTGGTCATATCTAAATACCCCAGCTTATTTTGGACTATTGGTAATGTGAAATAACTAGATTTTTGGATTAAACAACTAGTCCGTACAGATTAGAACTGGTCTCGGACTAACGGACTAGTGGCAGTGTGTATACCTGTATCATATTCATATCATATGAAGCAAAGAAACAGAGAAGCAAATGAAAGAGGGTCAAATAAAGATTGCCATGGAACACTTACAAAACATGTTATTCGATCATCAATATCTGTTTCTCCATACAATATGAATTTGTCACTTTTAAATGTCACAGGAAATGAATACAAGATACGGTTTTACAAAAAATGGCTATTTTTGATGGAACTATACTCACACGCAAAAGAAACGCAAGTCGAGTATGCAGTATACATATTATTTATTTTCAACAGTAAAGACAAGAAATACTAATAGGGCAAGATTGACAAAAATTTGACTGAAGACAGTTTAAAGGATTAAAAGGCAGATTAAATAATTGTTTGTTTCAAATGTTAAGGGCTTACATAGTTTCGGGTCAATACCCAAAATGTCAGTCAATACCTGGTGTGACCACCATTAGCATTGATCACTGCCACACATCACCTGTGCATTGAGTGGATCAGACGATTTGTGAAGGCCCTAGGGGTCCTCCTGCACACATCCAGAGCAGATGTGCGTAGTTCATCGGCAGTTGTAGGGAATGGGCGCACATTGTGCAGACACCTTTGAACCCCATCCCACAAGTGTTCGATGGGGTTCAGATCAGGGCTAAGGGCTGGCCACGGCAGAACACGGATGATGTGTTGTTGCAGAAATGCCATGGTAGCTCTGGCAACATGGGGACGAGCGTTGTCCTGCTGGAAAATGTGTTGTTGGTGTTGTGCCAGAAATGGAACAACATGGGGTCTGATCACTTGGTCGATATACCGCTGAGCACATGGGTCCAAGTCTCGCATTAAGTCCAATCCCTGCCCATATCATGACGCTAGGTCCACCCCATAGATCCCTTTCCACAACGTTTCTGTCAGCGAAACGGTCACCCCGACGCCGCCAAATTCTGACTCTTCCATCTGCACTGGAGACATAAAAGCGACTTTCATCAGAGAAGATGACACGCCTCCACTCACGATGACGCTAATTGTGATGACCCTGTGCCCACTGAAGCAGTGCTTGTCGATGCCGTGGCTGGAGAACAGGACGACGTGCTGGTCGGCGACATCTGGAGTTGTTGGAACGGAGACGTCGGAATACAGTGTCCCGGCTAATGTGTCGATTATGTGTTCCTATGGTCTGTCGAGCACTTTCACTTGCAGTTAGGAACGGATGTCGCAGGTGTTGACGGGTAATCTGCCGATCTAGGACGTCCCTAGGACGACTGCTCCGAGGAAGGTCATCTGTGGTCTGTGTAGCATTGTATCAACGCACGTTGAAATGACGGGCAACATCTTGGACAGACTCTCCAGCTTCCAAACGTCCGATAGCCCGGTTTCTCTGAATTTGAGTTAGGCGTGGCGTTATTGACCAAGGAGTGGTAGGTCCAAGAATCGGCCACAGTTTTATACCCAATACAGTTCGTGACAGTTCATACATTTTCGATTTCGCGAGAAATGGGTGCATGATACCCACATATACATTGAAATGGTGCGTTTTGGCGATTCGTTTTTTATGTTGCGTTTTTACTCGGGGCTTCCAAAATGCAACCAAAACTATTGATAACACCATCAGGCTTCACTACATGCTAAAACTCGTATCAATTTATGGTTCCATGTTTGTTACCTATTTGCTTAAAACCACTTGCGTTTCTTTTGCGTATGAGTATATATAGTAAGCCATGTTGAACGTTTTTCAAGTGCTATAGTTGCCTGTCAACCACGGGTGTCCACGTTCTTGATAAATGTATTGAGAAAAATGTTCAGAAACGTACAAGTACATTGTCCTTTTAATACAAGAACAGAGCTTTCGATTTTTAAGTATATTACAATTGAACGCATATTTAGAATTCTTTCATATTATTTGTTTATGAATAGATAAACATACTGTACCCGTTTATGTGACGGCTTTGTTTGATCACTCAGGAAGCAGAACGCGACCATTGGGGCCATCTTGGCTCTGTGTTTGATGGAAAAGAGGAAACTATAGGTTTTTATGCTTTGAGAGGTGATTTACCTACAGCTGTGAGTGTTTGTCCCCAGGTGCTGTGATCCCCGTCGTCGGGTCACAGGTCTCTTCCTCCTCAGTCTTCACCTTCGGCTCCACGAACTACGGTCCACAGTTTGCCGTAGATGGCGGATTTGGCACCAACTTCGTCGTTGACAACACTACGTTTGCAACTGCTACCTCAGACGCAACGCCCTACATGGACATCGACCTCGGCAGCAACTTCCTCCTCATCTCCATCACCATCACCAACAGGGGTGACTGCTGTTGTAAGTAGAGTGAGATGGGGAGGTGGGTTTAACGCCGATTTGAACAGTATTTCAGTAAAGGAAGGCACTTCAGTTTAATGCGGAAGGAATGGTCAAAGGGGTGTAGCTGTAAGGTTCTGCCACTTGAATAGAAACAAAGACTTTTGTAATAAGTATCAACAACTGTGTATCGAAGAAGACGTTGACGATACCAGGAGGACATTTATGTGAGGAAACGGGAGTTTTAAATCAGTTTATTGGGTATACTTGATAACACTCAGACCATAAAACATAGTATACACAATCTCGTAGATATTATCATGGCGCGTTTTGTTGGATTTTCAATCTATCAAGTTCACAATTTGTGGTAAATATCCTGTTTGACATAAGGGATTGCTAATGTAGTGTTTCACATATGTGTATTCCTGATGCCAAAAGCTACGAGATTGACGTGTCTGTATCCGAATATCAATCTCCTGAGGCTCCCGTAAAATGACTATGTGCCCCTTACTGTCAACTGTCAAGTCTTACAATTAACAGCACAAGATTTGAAAACAAATAATTTTCTTTGGGGACAATGGTGAGTAGAGGACGTGCAAGTCCTAGAACTGTTTTAGATATTCTGAGGGATGTTTTCATGTTCTGGACCATTACTAAGTAGTAAAAGTGATTTTTAGGATAATGCGTTGATTGCATCTTTCTAGAAATATCAACGAATTTCGATTTATCATTGAACCAAATATACTCAGTTCTCAATTTCACCCAACGGTCAAAAATGTTTCAGAGAACTCACATTTATATGTGTTAACTGAACATTACTAAATCCTTAAAATATCTAGCACATGTCACCTCAATGAATAGAAGAATTCGTCCGACGTCGCGTTCAGCTTTTTCTGCTGTGTCACCACGAAGGAAGGATCTTCTGAGTTAAGCCCCATTCACATGGACACGTTTACTTACGTGAGTATATATACTTACATAAGTAGATTTAGTTATGGTGGCATGTGAACGCATTTGCTTACGTGAGTAAATATACTCCAGGAGTAAAGAGACATGAGTAAAAGTATATTTGCTACACCTAAAGAGGTCTAGTAAAAGTATATTTACTCATAAGTATAAATGCTCCTGGAGTATTTCTGGTCATGTGAACAGATTCTCTATTTGCTTACGTAAGCATATATAAATCAAAGATACTGATTATCAGGAAAATACAGCTGTAGTTCCTTGCAAAGGACATAACATGTTCATAAAATGTTTCGCGTGTCATGCGAAAGTTATCGATCCACAGTTTATCATCAAATGATCGTTTGACGACATTGTTCCACCAGTGTTGAGAACGTTCTCTCTTCCACAGTCCGCTTTCCTGGAATAATCCTACGACTAATCCCATACTAAGAAAGTATGGAAAGTCTCTCTTTCGCCTCTGGTTGACTATCTTCGACAGCGACATGGCCTCAAATGATAAAAGTTCACAATTTATTTATGAAATGATGTTTACTTCTGCCTTGCATAAACTTCATGTGAACGCAATGTAAATATACTTTTGCTTACATGAATAAATATACTCCATGAGTAAATTTGCTTACATGAGTAAATTTTGTCCATGTGAATGGGGCTTGAATCGTGCAGGTAGACTAGTTCATCGGTTGATAGGCGCAGTTTGAGTGGGTTCTCGAGGTCCTGCTTAACTGTAGATATATTTTACAACAGGAATATGTGTTACAGTTAAAAGGTAAAATCAGTTACTATGTATAATACCTAAAATGTTCAGCTATTAAATATTGTCAGATATTCTATATAATAACTAATTGTGCACTTACATTGCCCACATATAGGTAGTACATGGCGTACCTCTCTTAGGATAGAACCATTGTTTGTTCTGTTTTTTTCGCCAGAATCGATTGTATCGATTATTCTATTATTGATCCCAAAACTAATTTCCAGCAGATTCTATGGCGAGAATTACCTAGAATTACAACACCTTCCTGCTAAACTAGGTAGCAGTCATCTCGTTCCCATTTCACAATATGTCCCAAAGACCCTGTGTTAAACTGTGTAACCTGGCAGATCATGCCCCGACGCCGTGGATATTTGCTTATGCAGTCGACCACAAGTGTTCCTGACTTAGACTATTTGAGGCTACCTCGTTATTGTCGAATAAGATATCATCATCATCTCTCACTCTTTCCATCTTGGCAGCTGAACGTCTCCGAAACATCAGAGTCGAGGTGTACAATAACAACCCAACTCTCGGAGGAACGCCTCAAGTCTGCACTACAATCGGCAGCACCGCCCCAGCCGCCAGCTCCACCACCACGTTCACCTGCTCAGCCATAGCTTTCGGAAGGTACATCCGTCTGAACAAGTTCAGCAAGGTCGACGCTAATGACGTCCTTCAGTTAGTAGAGGTTGTCCTTGATGGCGTCCAGCTAAGTAAGTATATAACTATATATACTAGTATATGATAGTAAGATGAATGAGGTTATGATACATCACAGAAAAGGTTTCTTATCTACGTTATTTTCTATTACATCCTTCAGTTAGTAGAGGTGGTCCTTGATGGCGTAAGTAAGTATACTATATATATTTGTAAGACGTTTATGAGGTTTATGAAAAATATAGAATCTATGATATTGCCCTTTCTGTTTTACTGTTTAACTGTGAATGCTTCTAATGACTGTATATTTTCTTCCTTTCGCAATATTACAGATGTAACTTTCAATCGCAACGCATTTGAATCATTTAATGTATTAGGTTGTGTGAACTAGGCGAAGGAAACGCCACGCTTGTATAGATACCCTCGATGACACGGGCGGCTTGTCATCTAAGCCGCTGCACCCTAATGTGCTGAATTTTGCCTATTGGCTGTGTCTGGATCCGTTGAATCGAATAGCCTGTTGGCATTTTGAGGTTATCCCCGTGATTGTGGTGTGATCCGTGTTTTATCAACACCTTGTCCATGTTCCTGGAGTTTGATCAGAGTGGGTTTCACCAAAGAGTACGCACCTACTACGTGCGCCAAATTGAGATTTCCTCCCACAATTATCTGACATAAGGCTATAAAACTAAAATATTGTTCAAGGCATCGTTTAACCAAACTCACTCACTTCTCCACAGGATGTCCTTGCAACCACTTTCAGCTTCGAGATAGAGGTCATCATGTCAATTTCTCGTGTTTGCTTCAGACATACCAAATTTCATTCAAATCCTTGATTCGAACCAATAATCTGAGGATCGGGAAAGGGTTCCCGGAAGAAGGGGTTGCAATTCTGCATGGCGAATGGGGGACTTTTGAAATGTGATTTACGTACAGCTGTGATTGTTTGTCCCCAGTTTCTGTGATCCCCGTCCATGGGTCCCAGGTCTCTTCCTCCTCAGTCTTCACTTTCGGCTCCACGAACTACGGTCCACAGTTTGCCGTGGACGGAGGATTTGGAACCGATTTCGTCGTTGACAACACTACGTTTGCAACGGCTGTTGGAGACACAACGCCCTACATGGACATCGACCTGGGCAGCAACGTCCTCCTCCGCTCCGTTACCATCACCAACAGGGGTGATTGCTGTTGTAAGTAGAGTGAGACGGGGAGGTGGGTTTAACGCCGATTTAAACAGTATTTCAGTTAAAGGCGGCGGTTCAGTTAAATGCGGAAGGAAAAAAGTCCAAAGAGATTTAGCTGTAGGGTTTTACCGCTTGAATCGAACAAAAAATCCCAGTCCAGGCGAGTTTGCGAGCAGCGTTTACAGGCATGCCTAAGGGATGCATTACTAGACGAATTGTGGCACCTAGACGACTGGATACCTTGGTTTCAAGTAGATTTTGTAGTCGTTATCATGTCTGTCTTTTTCGCTTGAAGTCACCTTATGTTCTATAGTTAGCTATTAAAGTTAAACAAATATTGGCTTTGACCATACCAGAAGCACGATTTCGTGAGGAAATTGGATATTGAAAACAGAGTTTATTTCGTTCACTGAAGAACATTTAGACGATGCAAAGATGTACAATCCCGAAGCTATTATCGCTGTCACATTGTGATTACATTTTTAAAACTGAATAGTTGATGAGGGATACTCATTTAGTTGTGCATACTATCAATGTGGGGATGTAAGCTGCGTATGATTACAATGTTTCAGGGAACCGCCCATTTATCACATGGTGTCAAGTGATCTTTTTTTGGTCTACAGAATTGTCCTCACATCATGAAACCCCTATCGTCACATATTGGGCATGTATCGATGTATAGAGCTTGAAATTAGTTCCTGCTCGATGACCTCATATGCATATTTATCTGATCATGAAAACAAGTTCATCAGGTTTCTTTATCACTTCGATAACACTATCCATCCTAATATAAAATAGTTATAAAATTGTCATTAGTACCTAATGTATACCTATTGTCTCCTGAGACGAACGTAAAGTCCCCTAAGTGACCCTTACTTGTTCCCGTTTCATGTCTTACAGTTTAACAAAACCTAGCATAGTTTTCTTGGAGGACAATGGTGAGGAGTGGAAGTCCTGGAAATGTGTTATATGTTCTATGGGATGTATTTGTTGTTGGCAATTACTCATTTATAGTGAAGGCAATTATTGGGGATACCGGTAATTCTTTCTCGGAATTATCGGCGGATTTGTGTTCATTATTTAACAAAATATTGATGATAGCCCGTTGAGTTTCCCCCCATTACCACTCCACATTTTCACTTTCTAAATCACCGACCTGACAAAAATGCCTATCGCTGTCGTTCTTGATGCTGTCGGACCGCCTCCGTGGTCTAGTGGTAGAGCGTCCGCCTGGAGAGCGGAAGGTCCGGGGTTCGATCCAAAAGACGTTAAAAGATGGTACTTGTTGTAACCCTGACGAGATTTATGGGCTAAAACAAGGACGGGTCGGCTCGGAGTATATTGTGGTATTCATGTTAAACTGTGGCATGGTATCTCAGTGAGCCAGCACTATAAATCGGCATCAGTCCGGACTAGTACAAGCAGCCAAACACACACACACACACACACACACACACACACACACACACACACACACACACACACACACACACACACACACACACACACACACACACACACACACACACACACACACACACGTACATGCACGACGCTATATGAGTGCAATAATCTTGGACGCCACGTTTCACCGCAACTCATCTTGATGCTGTCGTCTACTTATGGTTACCTCGATATGGTTGAATGCTAAATAAGACATCATCACTCATTCTTCCGATATTTGCAGCCGAGCGTCTTCGAAACATCATCATCGAGGTGTATGACAAGAACCCAACTCTTGGAGGAACGCCTCAAGTGTGCACCACAATCGGCAGCACCGCCCCCGCCGCCGGGTCGACCACGACCTTCAGCTGCTCGGGGATGCCAATCGGAAGGTACATTCGTCTTAACAAGAACACCAAGGTCGACGCTACTGATATCCTTCAGTTAGTAGAGGTGGTCCTAGATGGCGTCCAGCAACGTAAGTAGATGACTTTAGCATCTATCTGATAGTAAGATAAATGTGGTTTTATGAAAAATAAACTGGCGTCCAAAAGAAACTGTACCAGAGTTTAAAATCACTCTTGCTAAAAAACAACAAAAATACATGCATGAAGTAAAGTGTATTGAGAAGATCAATATATCAACATAATCAACACTGAAAATGACAATCATACCGCGACCGAGAATGACGTCAGAGCCCACCAAAGTTGGGTGTGGTACAAAACTCGAGCTTTCAGAATCATGGACAATAGGCAGAGTACATTAACAATCGCTCACGTTCAATAACAAGTCATTAGTAGCGTGTGTGACCACCAAATGCCTCAATATACGCAAAAACTCTTGGATGCACAGAAAAAGTCAGTCGTCTGATGAGGTCACGTGGGATTTGACGCAATTCTTCTTGGAGGGCCAAGATGAGTTCTTGCCGGTTGGCTGGAGAGTGTGGTCGTTGTCGAACACGACGATTCATCAAGTCCCAGAGGTGTTCTATGTGGAACATGTCGGGTGAGCTTGCAGGCCACGACAGGACGTTGAAGTTGTTGGCTGCGAGGAAGTTAGTGACAATTCTGGCTGTATGGGCTCTAGCGTTGTCATGCTGATAAATGACACCACGTGGCTGCTGTTTGAGAAATGGTAGGACAACTGGACGAAGAATGTTATCCATGTAACGCTGAGCTTTCAAGTTTCCGTCAACGATGACCACCGGTGTCCTCTCCTGCCCACAGATCCCTCCCCACACCATGACACTCCCTCCACCATATGGTACGACCTCCTACACGCAACACGCCGGCGTTCGTTCACCCCTTCGGCGGTAAACACGTTGTCTTCCATAAGCCCTAAACATACAGAATCGACTTTCGTCAGTGAAGACAACCCTCTGCCAGTCACGTCGTTGCCAACGTCGTACAGTCCGGGCCCATCTCAATCGCAGACGACGATGTTGCGCTGTCAATAGCTCTGTATGGTCTAAAAGCCCTGATTCTGTGAGCCCTGAGTCTCCTGGCCACTGTCTGTCGACTAACCCTTTGACCTAAGGCATTTGTCGCCGATGACATCACTGTCAGGAAGCGATTTCGGAGGTGCAAGTTACGCAAGTACTGGTCATCAGGGGGCGTGGTCACCCTGTGTCTGCCTGTTCTTGGCCTGTCAGCGGTCCGCCCTGACTGTCTGTAACGTTGCATCAAGTTGGTAACGGCAACACGGGAGCAACCGAAGGTTCGTGCAATATGGTCGTGGGTGGCTCCCATCTGTACCATACCCAAGACTCGTTCACGTTGTTCGACTGTGAGTCGTGGCATTTCTTTTGTGTGTTTTTTTATCACTGTGGATGTCTGACTTGCCGTTGCAATCGTTTTATACCCATACCCGCACGTGCATTTGCAATTGTCCGTGGTGCACGTGTTTTTCACTTTTTCGCGTGTTATCTCGCAAACATGTAACATAGGATTAACATTTTCTGCATACACTATTGTTGTATTTAGGTTATGTTTTAGATAGACTTCATCGAAAAAACATTTATACTTTGTCTGAAATTTATATTTTCAGTTGGTAAAGTTTCTTTTGGACGTCAGTTTAGTATCACATGATAGTTTAATTTATCAACTTTTGACGCGTGGTGTGTCAACACGATGTCTGTATTCTGTGGTTTTCCCGGAGAGTGATCCGTATTTTTTTTCAAAATCATACCCGTGTTCCTGGGGTTTTCCCAGAGTTTGATGTGGATAGCACCAAAAGTGTAGCAAATGAAAGCTGGTATGATGAACAAGGGAGATAGTTCCATGAACATATAACTTGATCACTTGCCTGATAACGGTATAAAGAAGTCTTTTATTCATAGATCTCCCTCCCTTGTTCCTAAGGCTATAACACAAAAATACTGGTTAAGATGGCGTAAAATCCAACTCACTCACTCCTCCACAGACTGTTCTTGACACCACTTCCAGCTGGACGAAAACTGTTTCTACTTCTCTGGATTCCAAATAACCTATGCACAAGCCAAGGTAAACATCAACATCGCATCCACGTGGAATATTAATTACATTTTATATTAACAATGTATTTTTACACGTACAATTTCCCTTGGCCATGCTAGCATTACGTGGTCGTGAGTGAACATCTCAGATAATGAACCGTTCTCATGAGTTTACAATATGTAAACGACTAAAACCTTTCCTCTCATGAGCTAAACCTAACTCGCTCACACAATGGAAACAATCGTTGTGTTACACCTACCTCCTATTATAGCGATGTACTTGTAAATAAAGAGTTTGCAATATCATTGTGTTGTGTTATTCACGTCCAAAATGTTTTTATTATGATATATTTAGGTATGACGGATTAACTATAGTGATAGGAAAGAATCGGGTGTTCTTTGACTTAATTTTCTGTATAACAATGCAACACATGTAAGCTGCGTTTGGGGGGAGTGATGGGCGTGTGGTAAAATCTCACCACAAGACTGTATGATAAGAAAGATGACTTCAACTTTCCAATGGTCACGTTTCCCTTTATTTTGAGCAATATTCGAGCAACTCCAGTCTTTGGTGTTTACATATCACAACTTTACAGGTACAATCGAGAATGCTCTTTCTACGAAGATTTCAAAGAGCGTCACAAGCCATTTGGTCCTTTAGTTCTTTGATCAGGGTTCCATCATTCAGGGCTTCAACAACGCTTTCAAAATGGTGTGAGTGAGTGAGTGAGTGAGTTGGGTTTAACGCCACTTTTAACAGTATTCCAGTTATATCACGGCGTGTCAGCTTAATGTGGGAGGAAAGCCCGAAGTGATGCAGGTCTCAGACGTTTACCACTTCGGTGAAACCCACGAGCACAGGTATGGTGCTGACAAACCTAGAAACATAATCGGGGCAAACCGGGATTCGAACCCACAATCATAGGTTTCTGGCGTGCCCAAGGGACGCAACTCTGCACAGCGAATCGCGGCGCCTTAGACGACTGGGCCACCCGTGCCCCCCTTTCAAAATGGTTTAATGGTAGACATGCAGAGGACATCTCCACATTTGAAGCATCATTGACAAAATTGATGTTTGATTGGGTCAGTTTCCTATTTTGACATGTTCAATATTTGCTTCAAGTGAGACGATGCTTACCGTCCATGAGCAACTGAAAAGTAATAGCAACATTGACCACACTACATAGCTTTACACATTACAGATTACGGGTTAGCATATGTCCTTTCCCTGTGTTTGAAGTAAGAGTTGACAAGCTGAAAGCTGGCCTTGTGGTTAAAGCGTTCCCTCGTCACGCCGAAGGACCGATTTCGTGTCGTCATTTTGGTACATTGGGTAAAGCCAATTCTGGTGTCATCAAGTGTGATATTGTGTTACGTGTCGATTCCCAAATCGAAACAGTATGCTAACCTGGAGATATGTACGTAAAAGAACGGAAAACAACCATAAAGTGATTTACAATCAACAAATGCATTACAAACTTCACTAAATGTACAAATCAATGCAAGTTGCTGCTCAGGAATTACAACGGCAATACACAATAGAGTGGTAGTACAATAGTCAATGATAGTAATATAGAATGTAATATGATGGCAGCGGTCAGTATCAAACAAAAATACAGTGGCGATAATAGTATATTTACCAAGCGGCGATAGTGGTAAAGCTTCCGAGATGGGCTTATGCAGGGAATCATGGGTGATGAGTGATCCTCAAAGGAAAGCTGGTCTTGATGTGATGAAATGCAAGAGGCATGGTCTTACCCTTTATTTACCGCTGCTGGAAAGTTCCACATAGTGTCCTCACAACATAGAATTTTCTCCATGTTTCTATAACCCACCATCACAGTCTACGTTATTCTGGAAGTTTACATATCACACCAGCATCTAAATATAGTAACTTCATGACGACCGCTTACATTAACTCCCCACATCGTCACATATCACCTTTTCACTCATGTATTATGCTAGACTGGGTAGGTTTTTAATGTATCCAATAGCTGCGGTGTCTTGACCAGTAATTCCTGTTTTGATAGACTGACATGTCTCACTTTGGATCGATGATATGCATCAACCAAGTCAGCGAGCCTGACCACACGATGCCATTAGTCGCCTCTTACAAGCATAGTCGCCTTTAACGGCAAGCATGGGTTGTTGAAAACCTATTCTACCCCAGATCTTCACGGGTCCAACTGACTAGGAATCTATTTGAGAAAGATAACTATTGAATGCTTGAGGTTTTTTCCTCTCAACCCAAATAACTATTTGATCAAAAAACGTTCCATGGAGACGTTCAAACTGTGTCCAAAATGTGGATAACATTCAAAACTTGAAATTTAATGATAAGAAGCTATGAATATTCAGTTTATGATACATTTCTTATTGATTCAACAATAGGATCATTTGAGATCCAACTGAGAAATTATCAAGTGGTTTTATGTGAATTTTCTATTGCTCATATCCAACCAGTCCGCAAGTTAATTGATTGTGACTGACAATTGATTTTGCAAAATAACTAGATTTTGCGAGACAACTTGCCCGTTTTGATTTTCATTAGTCTAGGACTAGTGGCCGTGTTTATCCCTGCAAGGGTGGAATAGGATTATTTTGTGTTCTTGTCACTTGCCCACCCCCACCAACCAAGATCAAATGTAGTATGTTGTAGGCTGTAAAATTACATAAGAGAGGATTTTGATATATTTGACCCCCTCAATTTTACAAATTCTGGACCCGCCCTTGTCATATCATGCATTTTCTAGACTAGCTTTACGTTATTTATTGGTGTGCATGGCTTCACTGATGTGGGGATTCACTGTTACAATTGGCTCCGAGTCACTTGTGCAGGCGGAAACCTTAATTTGATCAAAGCTTGAAGTTGAGAGTCATGGTCAAACGCAACATTGTTCCAACTTTATGACGGAGGCCGATAAATATTCCCAGTGTGGACCAGTACGATCCACGCAGTTGGGATACGATGGATGACACGCAATCCACCAAGTCACCCGATTCATTAATGATCTATGCTGATGATGTTAGTCACTGTTTTGTCTGGTCCAGACTCAACAATGAACACACCACCTATCTGGAATAATGCTGAGTGCCGTGCTAAACAAAGGAACAGTCTAGACCCATACCTTTCGAGTTGCTGGTGTCATTGATACACACCTATGGTTGAAACATGTATACCTTGAACAAAAGGTCGGAGGTGTGATAAAACTGTACCATTTACTATGTGTGAACCTTTGTATCTGTTCAAGTTTACGTTTTACGGATAGACCGACGAGAGGAAAGAGCTTCCGAAAACGAAACAATATATGATTTAAACTGATATTTAGTTACAAGCAAATATAACTAGAAAACTCGTATAAATAGATGATTTGCCAAATGCATTGAATATAGTCTCTGACCACGACAAATACTTCATAATGAAGAAGGAGCCATCTCTGATAGAAAATTTTGTTGTTGTTTTGTTTCTTGTTTAACGCCGCACTGAGAAATATTCCAGCTAGACGTCGGTGGTGTGTAAATAATCGGGTCTGGACCAGACAATGTAGTGTTTGACATCATGAGCATCGATCCACGCAATTGGGATACGATGGAATGCATCAAACAAGTCAGCGGGGTTGACCACCCGATCCCGTTAGTCGCCTCTTACGACAAGCACAGTCGCCTTTTTACAGCAAAAATGGGTTGCTGAAGACCTATTCTACCCCGAATCTTCACAGGTTCTCTGATAAAAGCAAACATACCTACATGTTACTGTTAGATTCCGGATTGACTTGGCCCCAAACATCCGAGTCCGACATCAGGTCATCCTTATCATCAACCCTATTGCAACCTATGCTAGTTTTATGAGGCGAGTAAAGGATCGGTTGACCAGGCTCCATGACTTGGTTGGTGACTGACTGGATTATTTAAAGGCTGCCATCATACAGGTGGACCACTGATGAGTGGGGCGTAAACCAACGGACACAACAATAACAACGTTGATTATTAAACATCATGCAGCTGTTTAACATTTCCCACCGACTCAAATTAGCAGGGTTTCAGATCGGTTGATTGTTTTTTTGACACTAAATGTTATTCAAAATGTTCTGAAGATATTTGAACAAAGTTGAATTGGAAAGAATATAGATAATAAAATGATAAAACACTTAACACAACCAGGAGACATATCCATTGTATGATTCCGGCTGTATCATAAGAATGTGAAGAATCTCCAATCGAAATTTAATAAAATCACGATAATACCTAATACCATTTATCTAAATTACTCCTTAATTCCCCTTCACAAACACGATAATATAAAGCGAATAAACAAACATGTAAGAAAGCGTCAACATAAAAAGCTAAAAAGGTTGAAATGTGAACAACGTTAACGGTTTGCTGCTGGCGATGTCTCCAGACAGCTGAAAGCTGAACGCACAAAGACACTGTGATGCTTTGCTAAATTTGTTTCCAGAAAAATAGTGAAGATGAATGATAAACGAGCGTACGTCATCACCAGGTATCAAGTGTTGTATATATTCATTCGATAGTGACAATTACCCTGGCCCATGTTCCATAAAGTAATGTTAGCGCGACATAGATTTGTTTGTTGTGTTTAAGATCATTTAACACTGAGCACTATTCCCTCTGTAATCGAGGATGGGGAGACAGCCATACAGTACTTTGTATCAGAAGTACGTTCAGCATCTCAAGACAAATGTGGACAATATTATCACACGTGTCACGTAACCGAGACTAATCAGAATGAACATCTGTTCAATTAAACTTTATTAAACTTAGTTGATAGCATAATTGCTGCACCGTAAAGCATATCAAACTGTTAGGTAAATAGAAATTACACGTGGTCCAATGTGATTAATTCTGTCCCGTCGAGAAGATTACAATCTTTGGTATAAATATGGAGACACAAACCCTGTCTGACAAATCATCCCGATTGTCTACAATGCTGCTCATCTCTGTGTTCATGGTTGTGTTGGGGGTTGCTGAGACACATGGTAAGTATTTCAACCGAATTTTCGACGGGATATACGGGTGAACATTCTTTGTTACAATTTGGAGCGTGTAGGCCCTAACGTTGTTATCACCCACTTGCTTGATAACGGTGTGAGAACCTACACTGAAAAGTCACTCCAAATTGTAATTAAAGAGGTCGTTCATCCATATATCTTATCCCTACTTAGTACTCCAACTTCTAAATGCCTCTAAGAGAATTTCTCATTTTGAAGTTTTCGGTGTGGACATTGTACTGCAAAGTCTGCTCTACACTGAAAAGACACTCCAAATTGTATTTAAAGAAGATG